AGTACCTTTTTCTACAGAAAGGTTGCTGATTATGATGGAAATGTAAACACATGTTGTGTTGGCTTGTCTTCCTGTCTGTATCACACCTGTATTCTGGTGACCAGCTTCTTCACGCTCTCTTTTGATGACACATCCACCACAGCCGCCATGTGACCCTGTCCTCTGAGTCATTCTGCAGACCCACCATGGTCTCGTTGGCAGACTCCTCGCTGATGTCTGCCACCACCACGGAGGCGCCCTCAGAGGCCAAACGCTGACATACCGCCCGTCCGATCCCACTGCCTCCTCCTGGGAGGGAAAAGAGTAGCATGAAGTTACCAGAGTGACAGAATGTTTTAAACACAACGCTGCAGAGGAAAGACTGAGTGTGACAGAAGATCCACTCTGGAAGTATCTGAAAAAACAAATATCAATCAAGGACGACAAGAAAACACACAGGACAGGAAGCTGACTTGATGTGATTGATTTTCAGTTTGATTAGCCCAACAGTTCAGGGCTACATGACCAATTGTTATTCACAAATCATCTGCGCCCAATCACATTTCTTTCTTTCTTCTGTCTTCAAAAACCTTGAGTCCACTTTTCTATGTGAAAATGTAAGAGGACAAGTGATGCTTCATCATTCATAATACAGCTTTAATGTTTATTCCATCAGTCAAAGAAGACAATTAATAAGCCACAATTCTCATAATACATGTATCCTTTCAGTCACTCACTGTATCCACACTGTATTGCATTTTTTACAGTTTTGAACCTTAAGTCGGACAAAACCAGACATTTAAAGATTTAAACTCTGAGGCATTTAAACATGTTTCCTTTTTCAGTATTTTCACAATTCAACGGCAGATCATTTCATTCTGAAATGGTTGCAGGTCTTATTGATAGCATACACACAGCCAGAATGACAGCTACACTTTCACCTTCACTCTCATTTCAAGTCATCAAACTTAATTCAGTCCGATCTGCTCGAGGTACTGATTTAGAAATCACTGATAGAATCACGGTTACACTAAAATAATGAATTCATTGTCAGCTTACTTTGGAGATCAAACTTTTTGATATCAGAAGCTACTTGCAGTAGGTAGCTGCTTTGATTTGGTGAATTGAAGAAGATTGCAGAAAAACACACGGCTTTGAACGCAACATCTTGAAAAGGGAAAAGGGCATGTCCTTAAACGTCTCACTTCACACAACACCATGTATCTTACAACATATATTTACCAGTGACCAGCGTCAACCTTGATATCAGCCGTGTGGCAGCCGTCATACTCCCATCATGTTTCCCCCCCTTATGTTGTTGTAGCTTTCGGGTTGTCCACTAGATGGCGCCCAGTGATGAAAAATGTTACGTGTTCCGGTTCCGGTTGATGACGAGCCCAGCAGAGTTTAACTAAAAGCTAAGGAGGCGAGGAGGGAATCATCTATTACAATGCTTTGTCATTTTATTCATCAAACTGACCATAGATTACAGTCACAGTATGAACAGGATGGAATATCCCTCCGTTTTAATACAAGGTTTATTTTGAAAGGGTTTAACGGAAGTATCTCTTCGCTACGTGTATCTAACTTGACTCTGCGGGTGTAGTTCTTCATTGAGGCCACTAGATGGCGCACGATACTGAATACGCCAATGTAGAACAAGAAACACATTTAAAAACAGCTACACGGACAGAATACATGATGTTGATTCAAATGAACATTAAATACATTTTTATCTTGGACAACAGATATTTTATAACTTAATTGGCCATAGATTAAAGCGTTGTGTTGTTCACTCCGTCAAACATTACCTTCATAAAGTGCAGCTAGCGTTAACAAGAGGGAGCTGTAAGGCGATGTGATAATGTTCCTTTACAAACTTTCACTGTTTGATAGAAGAAAAAGATTAAAGTCTTTTGTTATAATTCGGTAAAGTTAATTAATCAGCATGAACAACGGCTTCCTAGTTTTGGTGAATTGTTCAGGAGGACACAAACTTTCCTGTGAGCTTTGCATAGATGTTTAGAATTAGCGGCAGAAACTTTGTTGATCAAGAGGGAGATAAAATGCCTCAACCTCCATTAATTTGAGGTAAAAGTATGAAATGATGTATTCCTCTTCCTCGATAGTCTTGTTCTTGTTTCTAGCTTGAGGAGGTTATTCTTAACAGAGTTGATAAAAGTATAACCGTGAGTACACACTGCCCCCCTGTGGTCAAAGTGCAAAACTTTTATTTTGATAGTGATAGTCGGAAGTTGTTCTTTGTATAAACATCTACCTTGACAGATTGATGACGCAGTAAATCATTGTGTCATACATAGCGTAATTATAATATAAATAAAGCACATATGGCATTATCATTAACAAAGCAAACAGTGTTTGTACTTAAGCTGTGAGTATTTGGATTTATTTAACTATTGAGGACAATTATCCTTAAACAATCTTTAACAAGAGCTTTGAATTAACTGTAAAAGTTCTCTGTTTTTACTGTCTGTGATCATCAACACGTCATGTATGAAAGAATTGAGTTGACTGAGAGAGGGTCAAATATTTAATAATAATAATTTGGGGAAAGTATACATTGTATTTCTGGATCAGGGATAGTATAAGCTCATTTATTTATTACAATAAAAAATGTATCAGATAATCAGGCCTCTGTGAACATACGATCACACACTAAAAATATATGTATTTATTTTACATGTGATCACACAAGATTCAAAAATAATAATAATAATGTTATAATAATAATAATAACATCTATATATAGGACAATTTTAAAATGAAGCTACAAAGTGTTTTACAAGGACAGCAATAATAAAACAAACGGAAAACAGTCTAGACATAAAATCATAAGTAAAGGCAAACAATTATAAATAACAAACATTTTACATAACATTCATTTAAAAGATCTTTAAAAGAAGCAAAAAAATATACATTTTGAAGGAATTTTTAATGTAAACTAAAATGACGTGAGGAAGGGCTCGCTGTTTAAAATATGTCTTAGGAGGGGGTTATAATGAAAAAGAGATTAACTGACTGATTATCTCACATGATCTCCTTCTCTCTACTTTCCCTATGATTTTATTTTAACAGCGATGACCGGAAGTAGTACAATGTAATTTATTTTGACTTGACAGTATTGATGCTGTAGTTACTCACTGTGACCACTAGAGGTCATAAATAATGTGCTTCTCATTTATTTACCGTTCAATCGTCGGCTACCCATGTTAGTGACTTCTCAAGTTAACTAAGGAAGCTTTGATGATTTCACATTAATTATGGGATACCTTCAGTTGTTTCTAAAGTCCTACGACATCCTTGTGTTTACATCGAATCACAATTTATCTACAAAGTTCCAGTAGGCCTACTTGTAGTTTTGCTAGCTAGAGAGCTAATTGTTGATGACATCTTGTCCGACACAGATTTGATTTGTTTGGATAAAAAAATACAATCAATGTTTTTAGTACGAGCAGAAAAGTGAAGATTGACTGGTTATGTTCCAACGAATGTGAACTTAAATAACTCGGATTGTTTTTTTGTTAACATAACGATCATAAGCGCATCTTAAAAATGTTTTATTTTGACGACAGGGACCGGAAGTAACACACTGTGATTTCATCTGACTTGATAGTAGTAATGTTGTAGTTACTGACTGTGACCACTAGAGGGCATAAACAACATGATTCTAATAGAAATACTGTACAACAAAGATGAATAAGGTGGATTGAAGTAACAAACCTGTGGCATTGCTACATTAATATTTGATATCTTTAGTAGTTTAAAATTCAAAGGATATCTGTGGTTTACAAACAATGATGGATATAAATTATAGAAGCTTAGTCCAATACATCAGCAGGAGTAACTTGGGGTTAAGTGTCTTACCCAAGGACACATTGCACATGTGGCTGCAGGAGCTGGGGATTGAACCCCGACCTTCCTGTTGGGAGACAACTGACTCTACCACTGAGCCACAGCCGCCCAAATAAAACAAAGTGCAGAAACTAACTTACATTACTGACGTCATCAAAGGATCAACGTCAGAGTCAGAAACAAGTCTGTATAAATCTAGAGATATACTACGTTTTTATTTTGTGTTTGTACGTTTATTTAATTAATCGACCAAACAACACAATTAAATACCCCCCCCCATAATTTAAATCTGTGTTTGTTAACTTCTTCCATCGTGACTCAAAGACGTTTCCTAAATTCCTTCTCCTAAGAGTTATTCTCTCCATATTATAATCTCATTAATTGTTTTTTCCATTTCATTATTTGTGGTGGACTTTTCAGACAGTTTTTAGTGTTCTGTTTAATTTCTGTTATTCTTACAGTCCTATACAGGTATTTATCTGAAGTGAGGGACAGTGCATGGGGGGGGGGACTTCCCATAAGTAGGTGTTGTGGACTAAAGGAAAGATTACATTTAAAGATCTGATTTATTTCCTGTTTTACTGAGCAGTATTGAAATCTAGAGATATGTTAAGTTTCAAGGCCTCACATATCATCTATTGCTCACTTATTTTTCCTCACATTAGTTTGTAAGATACATCTCTAGGATGAGCTGGGATGCATCATTAGTGACGTTCCTGAGGTCATTTGGGGTTTCAGGTCTTTCAACATCAGACCCCTCCCCCCAGGTGACCCATCCAGGGTTGATCAAGTCCAGCATTGCATCCCAGCAGCAGCAATCGACGGGCTCGCCCTCTTTATCCAAAGCCACCGAGTGGCCCTACTCTTCACAGTTCCTGTTACACCAAGACCTGCCAGAGCTTTGCAGATAGAGCGCCCAGCAAACCCCCGACAGCCCACTTCAATCGGCTCACAAAGAGCCCGCCAGCCTCGCCCTCTCTACACTGCTCCACCAGCTCCCGGTATTTGGCCAGCTTCCTCTCGTAAGCCTCCTCCATGTGATCTTCCCAGGGCACAGTCAGCTCCCAAATCATCTGATGGTGGAATCTGAGAAGATGGTCGAGTCTGTACGGAGTCATATCTTATTCTTACACTTAATTCCTCCTTGGTTTTATTTTATTGTTTCTCCCCTCATCCCGTTGAACGTAACAATAAAACACAAATCATCTGAATGAAAAACCCAAACTACCTCACCTCAGATGAAATGAAGAAAAGACAATCAGTCAGTCATGGGTCCTTAGTCATCTTAACTTTTCTCTGTCTCAGAGCTCGTTCATTATTAACTGCTTCCATACAGTCCAGTTCTCTGTTTGCCACCAGTGGAGTTGCCCCCTGCTGGTCATTAGAAAGAATGCAGGTTCAAGTTACTCCCGTGATTGGCTTCACTTTTGAAATGCAGAGGTTACGTTCACTTCTTATATACAGTCTGCAATAAACTCAGGTGTTGATCAGCAGTGAGAATCAAATCAAATCAAGTTTATTTGTATTGCACATTTAAAAACAGCTTCACCTGACCAAAGTGCTTTACAGGCAATGTGTAAAAGCAAGAAAGAAAAATAAAAACATTAATCTATACATGTGCACATACATACATATATAAACACATATACATATACATAATACACACACACAAATATATATATATATGCACATACATATATACATGTAGTATACATACATATCACAAACACATACACTCATACCTACATGCACATGCATACATACAGATACATACCTAAGCTCAATATATGGGGTCTGTTTCAACTTGTTTTAAATGCCAGGGAAAAGAGGTGAGTTTTGAGTTTTGATTTGAATGGATTTAAAGAGTTGATTTGTCTGATGGAGGGAGGCAGTTGATTCCACAGACGGGGGCCAGCCACTCAGAAGGCACGGTCACCTCTGAGTTTTCGTTGAGCTCGTGGGACTACAAGGAGCGACTGTTCAGAGGACCTAAGTGGGCGTGATGGGGTGTGGGGGGTTACAAGTTCTGTTAGATACGGGGGGCTAGACCATGCAGTGACTTATATAGAATTTTAAAATGGACTCTAAGATCTACAGGGAGCCAGTGAAGGGAGGCGAGTACAGGGGTGATGTGCTCTTGCTTGTGTGTACCTGTTAAAAATCTTGCAGCAGCGTTCTGGACGTACTGTAGCTGTGAGAGGGAGGACTGACTGACTCCCATATAGAGGGAGTTGCAGTAGTCAAGGCGGGACGTAATAAAAGCATGAATAAGCTTTTCTGAATCTTGGAAGGATAAAAAAGGTTTTACTTTAGTTAAGGACCGGAGTTGGAAAAAGCAGCCTTTAACAACTGAGTTGATTTGTGTGTCGAATTTAAGGGTTGAATCAAAGGTTACGCCAAGATTTTTTGCATATGTTTTCACAAAAGAGGACAGTGGGCAAAGTTTTTTACAGATCAAGTTGGTGGACTCCGGGGGGCCGAACAGAAGTACCTCGGTTTTTTGTTCATTTAGTTTAAAGAAGTTTAGTGCCATCCAGTCTTTGATTTCTTTGAAGCAGTTGAGTAGTGGTTGCAGGGAGTGTGGATTAGTGTTTTTGAGCGGGAGATATAATTGTGTGTCATCCGCAAAGCAGTGGAAGGATAGACCGTGTTTCCTTATAAGGGCAGCATGTATAAGGAAAATAAAAGAGGCGATAGGACTGAGCCCTGAGGTACCCCACAGGTGAGGGTGGCCGAGGGGGAGACGGTATTTCTAAGGCATACTTTGAACCTTCTGTTTTCCAGGTAGGATTTGAACATATTTAGGGCTTGCCCCTGGATCCCAACCCAG